CTAAATATTTTTTATACCTAAACGTGTCTTTGGTTTAATTAAACAAATATTTAATGCTGACAAGGGAGCGGGGTAGCTCAGTGGTAGGGTACTGAGCTTCCAATGCTCAAGTCCCAGGTTCGAACCCCGGCTCATGGCAGAAAATTTATTTATCTGTTTCAGTAGCCGTGGGTCGGTAAACCCTCCTGGGGCACACCCAGCCTCTATAAATTGGGTACCCTTAATTTAATAATTAATTAAGGGGAAAACCTGGCGGTTGAGCCTGATCTCGGTGAAATCTCCTCCTTGCACAACCGTTGACCTAGAAACAGTGCTTTCCCTAAATATCACTGAACCCAAGACCCGTCATGGGTTGTAGTGGTACAGGTTTTTTTTTTTTTTTTTTTTTTTTAATGCTGGCACATAGTGGTAATTTGAATTAATCAATATTTTTTAAAAATAATATTCAAGTACCTACTGCTCTCGAATGGTTCATTCTATAACTGTTAAGAAAACGTAGACGTTTTGTAGTTTTCTATAACGTTTTTTGGAGGGAGTTAGAAAGCCGACATGGCTGTTTGCCCCTTACAAGGCCGGCCGTGCCTCGGGGGCAGCAACTATTGGTATTGGTAACTGGAGCATGCTGCGTCAGCGTCGCCTTTAAAGGCTCCTGGTTCTGGGAGGGCTCCTCTTCTTATGGTATCAGTTGTTGTAAACATTAGTATTCGAGGAAATAGTTTAGAAATATCTTCTCCTATTACTTTTTAGAAATAATAGCGAAGATTTGCTTTTATTTCCTTGACAGCATAAGGTTCATTTGTGGTTTTCGGTAAATAAATAAATAACAACCATAATTGTTATAAATTAGTAACAGAATAACCATGAGACAGAACATAAATGTTAGGTTATAATTGGGAAAAATTCCAAACCACACAGCCTTACACCTCCAAAATGCAGGCAAAGAAAAACCCGTTAACGTTCGCCAATTCGTCACTACAGAAAAGAAAAACTAATCAAACATCACTCCATGTTTGTTATTGAAAAAAAAAATTGTTAAGATTCATTATAGAATATTGAAAACGTATAGTATATTATAAGCCGTTAAAACTGTTGATAATATCAACAGAGGATTTATATTATGACCCTGATCTTGTGATAAACAGGAGGAAAAAATACCATCAGATAGTTATCGAATACAGTTGCTGTGGTCATTTCGTCGGTAGTTCTCTTTGAAGTTGAACACCTGGTTTAAAAAAAATAAATAAAAATAAAGTTAAAAAAATAGGACAGATTCAGTTGTGAATGGATCATTAAGCAGGAGGATGAGTACAATAGAGTTGAAAAGACCGCCAAAGCAGTTCGGTGTCAGGTCTGTGTGTGTCCGAGCGTAATTCATTTCGGCACAAAATACTCTTAACTTTGTAAACATATAGGCTTGAATAATGAGTCACCTCAAAATGAATATTTTTTCTTCAGAGAGAGGTACATCTAAATGAAAATTCACGGTTATAAGCATTTAAATTTAGGTACAGACTCCTTTTTATCAGATTATTAACATCCGCCTGAAATTTCGTGGATAGTTTCATCTCATCGTAAGCTACAACTATTTTATTTACGAAAACTCTTGGAATTAGGGCGTTTTCGATATGGACGCCTAATTCCTAAAAACTCGTAAATGCCCATTTTCTCTCCACTTGAATCGTAAGATAATTTGAGCATAAAATCTAGTGAAAGGGTGGCCTACACAAATATTGGACCGTTTGCTCTATATAACCTCCGTTATTTGGCGTTTTGGGAGTGTATGTCACGTCAAACGATTCAATATTTTTTAAGGCCACATTTTTATCGAGTTTGTGCTCAAATTACCGTAAAGGTTGAAACACTCGTTTTATGTTCTTTAAATATTAAATTGATTTAAGTTTATAACATGAACGAAAAAAAAAAAATATCCGATACTAATATTTTCCTTTCGATGTTACGATAATATCGAAAACTTTGTTTCGATACGATATCGTAGGGAGGGAATATATCGATATAAATAGATATTCTTAGGTGTGCCGTTACCTCATTTACATACTTGATGCTCAATCGATACTTTAACGCATATTCCCATAAATGTTTAAAGGAACAAACATCAGATTGGCTCTGCAATCAAATTGGCTGAAAGGAGTCCTTTTGCTTTGAGTTACGTAAAAGTATTTGTGTTTTATTGAATATTTATTAGTTGACCGTTGCATTGTAAAGGAAGGAGATGGTCCGGGTGGCGGTCATAAATAGGCTAAATAGTGGCAAAGCTATTTATGACCGCCACTCTTTATGACCAACTTTAATTCAGTATTACTTATACGTAGACGTTACTAACAGGCGGACGGAACTTTTTGCTGTAGTTCGTAAATAATTGATATATAATAGGTAGCCAACCCATATTATGTAAAGCGTTTTGCAATTTTAATAAAGATTAATTATAATTAAGTGTAAACATGACAGATATGATGCTCCAGCTGCCCTTGCCTCCAGCCTGGAAGTCGAACTTGTAGCGACCTGAAGTAGACCAAGGCGGGGTACTCCCACTTGAGAAAGTACTCTCATTATATTTTCAAATCAGTTTTCGAGTTAGTGTTTGTAGAACATACTGGGGATGGTAGAAGAAGAAAAAGGAAAGTTAATTTTATTGTGGTGCCCCTAAGAATAATTATAATGAACAGTTTAGTGACATTTGTCTGGCATATAAGTTGTTCATCTTCTTGTAAATAATATTACATTGCTACTGAGTCTATAAATTAAAATTAAAAAAAGGCACAAGTTAACATTAGAATTATAGATAGATGTATAAGGGTGTGTTTACATATATAGAATGGGTAATAGAATAGAATAGAAAATAGAACTTTATTCTGGGACTAAGTCCCCTTAGAATAACAAAGACGAATTAATACAAAATAAAATACCAATCCGGCCAAAAACTAACTTAAAAAAAAACTCTAACGTAATATACATTATTTAAAAAGTAGTATGTAACCACTAAGAAATAAACAAACAAAAAATATACACATATATAAACACACTCACATATATATATACATACATATATATACATACTTACACATACATACATATATAAATGAACACACAATCTTCTCAAAATTTACTTATTATTACGATAAAAAAAAAAAAAAAAGACAGAAAAGAAATTACATATCTATATATACATAACTGCACAATTTATAAATAATAGGCTATCTAATAGAAACATAATTTAATACAAAATGTAATAATATTTACAGTGATTCATAAAATAATAAGCAAACACTAAGATAAAATAAAATCTCAGGAATAATTGTGGTATAAAGGTAAAAAAGGAACTATATATACGTACTTACTCATATTGCTACACAGTGAGACAAAAAGTATAAAATATAAACTTATATATACATGAAAGAAAAAGTACAACCTGAGGTGAAGAGAAATACAAATAATACATAGGTATCTGTTAGAAGAAAGTAAAATGAGATGACAACTGTAAAAAACATTTTACAGGAAGATTGATTGCTGAGGAGATGGATAGATAAATGGCGTTTTTAATGGTGTGGTTAAGGAAGAGGATTTGCGTGCGGAAGTAGGTAGAGAATTCCAAAACAATGTAGCACGTATGAGAAAAGATTTTTTAATGTAAACAGTTCTATGAGAAGGAATAATCAGGGTTGTGGGCTGGGATCTCGTGTTGAACGAATAGACAGAGGAGCAAGGAGTAAACAGATCAAGGAGGTAGTATGCGTTAATGTTGTGGCAACTTTTCTAACACTTCCCGACGCTAGTTCCTCTAAACGAGCTGGTAAAGCGACATGAATAAGCTATTCACCCAGCTGTAAAATAAGATGGCGTGATTCACTTCCGTGTTCTTGGCCGTAGCTTCCGCTTGGCCGAAATTGGCCATTATGACCGAGTGGTTCTTAGCACGGAATTTTCTTTTAAAAAACGCACGAAAGCTCCATAGATCTGCCTGTGTACACAAGTATGGCAACAATAGTAACTTGAACTTACTACCTAGTATGTTCAAGCACAGGTGGATTTACGGGAGGGGGGGGGTGAGGTTTCGGGCTGAAGCCACCTCTTCCCCTCCCCCCAAAAAAACCGGTAAAATATAACCACGTTTTATAGACAAAAATATTAAAAACTATCTCTTGAAGTATTATTGTTCGTGTAATTACATTTAATAGGACTTAAAAAATCACTTAAATCCCATTTCATATAGGTAGTTCATTTCTTTCTCTTTTTTTCAAATTAATTATCTTTATATATATGAAAAAAAATCTTTCCGGCTGAAGCCTCCTCCAAAATTAAATCCTGGATCCGCTAGTGTGTTCAAGTTAAATTTATTTTGCAAATAATAAATCGAGGGAAAAATGGCCTACAAAAATATTGGGCCGTTTGGCCTATATAATATCATTATATTGATATTTTGGGGGTGTAGGTCCACGCCAAACGGCTCAATATTTTTGAAGTCCACATGTTTCTCGATTATGTGCTCAAATTATCTTACGATTGAAGTGAAAAGCAAATTGGTGTTTGCGAGCTTTTAGTACCTAATTTTTTTATTCAATAATAATAATATACAAAGTTTGCCAATCTCCAAATTTAAAACGTCCCAATTCCAAGAATTTTAGTAAATAAAATAGTTGTAGATTAGGATGATATGAAACTATTTACGAAATGTCAGGTGGATGTTAATAATTTGATAAAAAAAGTGTCTGTACCACGGACTATAACTGTTTTAACTGCAAATATTTGCACTCTCCTTTTGATGTATAATAAATATTATTGGTTAATGAGTTGAAAGCTGCCTATTGTTAATAAAGTGTCTATTACTGTGGTACATACCTTACATATACATATAATATAAATAAATAAAATAAACGATGTGATCACTTGTGATGGGTTGATAGCTGGGTAGTGAGCTGGCTGGGAGACATTGACCCACTCAGTGGCTGGTCTAACACTGCCTGACCTTCTACTTCTCATTTCAGGAGCACACCAACTTCACCGGTTGGGATGAAGCGCTGGGACCGGTGCTGCTGTCCCTGAAGCATGAGTCCAATGATGAGCAGACCAGGGTACTCCTCAGGATGAGGACGGGCACCCTACAGACCGTCATACCTTCCACCAACACCCCGCCCATCACCGTAGCAAAGGTAACTAACAATATTGTACTATATAGAGATTTACCGAAGAGGAGATTGTTTGGGATGTTCAATAAAAAAAATACAAAAATTAATAAATTATATTTATTTTTATTTTTGTTGTCATTCTGGCCCAAAGTTTAGGCCTTCATCAGGGCTAAGAAAAAAACATAACAATTGGTATGAGAAACTATTAACATTAAAAACAAAATAATAATATGTAGGTCAAAGGTATAGTCTAAAAAATGAAGGTAGAATATAAAGTAATGATAAAAAAGTTATGGATAGAAAGTAGCAGAAGAAAAGTAAGAAAGTATAACATAACGGTAACAAAGTTAGGAAATTATGAATTAAATAATAACAGTAACAGAGAACTCTGAAATAAATAATAATAATTCCGTTTATCTATTTTACATTTTATTCTATGATTATCTCACTTCCTTTTGGCATACTAAGACATCATATTTTAGCAACTATGTCACCCCATTTGTTTTATGTCTACACAATTCATTTTTAATTTCTTATGTTACCTTATTTCATTAGTCCCTACTTTGTTGCCGTTATTATTTATTTCATAGTTCTCTGTTACTGTTATTATTTTATTCATTATTTCCTAACTTTGTTACCGTTGTGTTATATATCCTAACTTTGCTTCTGTTACTTTCTATCCCTAACTTTGTTATCTATCTATATCTTCATAGATGAATATGATTTAAAGCACCAAAAGTTTCTTGAAGTGATAGTAATAAACAAGAGACTGTTTGAAGAGTAATTTTCTATTTTGTAAATTTAGTTTTGTAAACTACCATGTATATTTTATTTTTCAAAGTAATCCTGAGGGAACATAATTTTGCTGGATTGTCATTACTTATATTTTTATCCATAAAACTTAAACAATTTTTTTTTTTTGTTCCTCCCCTTCCTTGCCTTTTAAGGCTATACGGGATTTTCCCAGGCCAGGGGGCGAGGGTGGGGATTTAACAAAACTTAGAAGTTAGAATGGGTGGTAAATATTCAGGACGCAGTCGTTTTTATTAGTGCTGACGTTTCAACCCAAACATGTGGGTCATCATCAGGGCATGGTTCGAGCACTTCAAGTACTGAATATCTTCAGTGCTCGAACCACGCCTGCCGATGACCCACATGTTTGGGTTGAAACGTTGGCACTTATAAAAACCTTACAATAACTGCGTCCTGAATATTTATCATGATATGTAGAACAGTCTACTAACTTCCTTCGATCGAAGTTACAAGTTATTACCTGTTCTGCATTTTTGTTTGCATTATATGTTCATATATTTAAAAACGATAATATTTTTTGTTTTTTCTTCCTCCTTAGGCCGTCTGCGCAGATCTGTCGCTGAGCAGCCTTGAACCCGTGCTGGCTCCTAGAGCGTCCAGGCTGATCGCTGCATATGACGAACACTCCATAGTGAGGCACTACAAGTTTGGAGTGCTGCTGCAGAAGATGGGCCAGACAACCGAGGAGGAGCTCTTCTCCAACAGGGGGGCCAGTCCCGCCTTCGAGGAGTTCCTCTCCTGTTTGGGCTCCAGGATCAACCTCAAGTACCATAAAGGGTCAGTGCAACATCTATAATACTCAGTACTACGAGAACTTATTAACAATTATAGAATGCTATTGCTCATGGTTTATGTCTCAGGCTGACCGGCCACCGAAAGCACAGCTGAGTGTAGTAAGAGGGAGTCGGCAACCGATTGCTTAGTGGAGCTCAGCTCAGTCAGCAACTTGCCTTGCATCGGTATCCTTCTCATATTCCGTACAACATTTTTAAAAATATATATATAGCATATATAACTTTTTTAAAAAATAGCAAAGTGGTTCATGTTGGAATTGAAAAGAAAAATCAAATATTTTTGTATAAAATCTAATATTTTCTCTTACATTTGATTAAGAAATCTTCCCCACCTGTTGCATATTTTACACTGAACCAAAATAAAATAATTTGAGCCAAAGCTGAGCTGAGCTGACCCTTGCTCCTCTCCGCTCTCATTGGCCGGCCTGCAATTAAAAACCTTTGATTCGGTTTTGGAAGTTGACTCAGTTAAACTCAACTCAGCTGCGCTTTCGGTGGCCGGTGAGCCTAATGAATTGGCTACTTGCATGAATTTAAAATTTGATTTGTCGATGTAGTTTAGGTTTTAGCAATAAAAACACAAAAATTCAAACAAATTTACATTATTTAATTTTCTTACAACTACCCTAATGGAATGATATATTATGAACTAGTGGGAGACATAATTTACTTAATAAGCAATTTCATTTAATATAGCATAAGTTTTTCTTTTCCTATAATTACTTTATGATCAGAAATTTATTTAAAAAATTAAGACAAAATCAAATAATTTAATCTGTACATATTTTTGTCATTTCATAATTTTATTTTGTATTCAGTATTCATATTATTTTTATTTTATTGCTCATAGCATGTACTTAATTGATTTTGTTGGAATTGTCTCCAGATATCGTGGTGGCTTGGATACCCAGTTCGGGCAGACGGGGGACGAAGCTGTGTACCAGGTGCACAAAGGCGCTGAAATAATTTTCCATGTTTCAACCCTCCTCCCTTTCACAGACAATGACCCTCAGCAATTGCAGAGGAAGAGGCATATAGGTAATGTTTCATTTACTTTATTATTTTTATTAAGGTCATTTCTGAATATGTTATATTTATTGTCTTTTAACACTCACTTAACATTGATTCACTTTTAATTAAATTTTAAATACTTTTTTACTTGATAATAAAAATTTTATTTTATTTTTGTTTTTTTACAGGGAATGATATTGTCGCTATCGTCTTTCAAGAAAAGAATACACCTTTCAGCCCAGATATGATCGCTTCTCATTTTCTTCACGCTTTTATTATAGTTCAAGCTATCGAACCCAACACTCCTAACACTAGGTAAGTATATTTATTCTTAGTATTATTTATTCAATAAATAAACTATTTATTTTGAGTGTATCAGATCTATACAAAATTTATCTTTGTAGGTATAAAGTTAGCATCACAGCGCGGGACGATGTCCCGATGTTTGGGCCGCCTCTTCCGAACCCTCCCGTCTTCATCAAAGGTCCAGATCTTCGAGAATTCCTCCTTGATAAGCTAATTGCTGCCGAATCTGCCTGCTATAAAGCACACAAATTCGCCCAACTAGAAGTAAGTAATCTTTTTTCAAAAATCTTAACAACTCTGATTATTTAATAATAAAAATACCATTTATTTATTTTGTTTTATTAATGAAAAAATAATTTCAGTTGAGAACAAGGTCTAGCCTCCTTGAGAGTCTAGTGACCGAATTGAAGGAAAAGTCGAGGGAGTTTGTTGGCGCTGAGGAGTTTACTTCAGAAACGCCGAAATCTGAATCTGGTCCTGGCTCAAGGTTTATAGACACCGTAAGGAAAGCTCTGATCGCTAGGGTCAGGTCACAAGAGGTCAAGAAGCATGAGCAAGATACGCCACCACAGATAGTGAGTTAAAAATTTCTTTATTTAAAATATATTTTCTGATATAAAAATTAAAACTTAAACCATATATCTAAAAGCCTTAGATATGTGTTAAATTTTAAATAACTCAATTTTCAAATAAAATGAGAAATGAATTTTTAGTTTGGCATAGATTGAATGAAAGTTTTAAGTAATAGAGGTTAAAGGCTCATGCACATAGAATATGATGTCTTGTTGTGACTGCAGTAGTGGAATAGAATGTAACTCAAAATCGCCATATCACCATGATCAGCAATATTCTATTGCTGCGACACATCACATTTTGTGTACACGAGCCTTAAGTATTGGACATTTCAAGTTATACAAGATATATTGCTATTCCAAATACAGGACTTGAAGAAAAATAATTTAGCGCAAAGAAGGAAAACATGTCTATACTTATTTATTCAAACTTGTAAATATGATTTCAAAAATTTTCTCCAATGGACCAAAATACTCCCATAATTATACTTCAACAATAAAAAATCATGTTATCCTTGTAAAACAGTAATCAATTACTGATTAAAATTTAATAATTAAGTAAAGACACCACTGTAAATGAATTGCAAAAATGAAAGTTATCCTTTCATTTTTAATTTTTTTTAAAGATTAGTATTCCCTGGAGATTGTGATAATATTATAACTATTTATCTTTGAACTTATGTCTCTATTTGATTTCTTGAATAATTATAAATCTTTCCTACTCCGAAAAAGAAGAATGGTGACAGCTGATTTATCAAGTCTCATATCGATGATTTGATAAATGTCATGCATTAGGCTGTTTTATTCTCAACTATTGTCAATTATGATAATAAACTTATCCAATTAATCAGTTATCTACTTTAATTAGAATTTTCTATTGATTCTGAAATTAATTGTTTTGTTTTTTTCAGAATGGCAATCCTGTATCTAGGAGTAGCACTTTCGGTAAAAAGAGTTCTCCATCTTCACCTGTTTCCAGCCCAGATATTCACACTCAGAGATTAAACAGGTAAGCATTTTACAACATTTAAAATATAATTTTTATTTTATATTTATTATTGTTGCAAAATGATTTAAACTATATCGAGTACCTAGTGTTGAGATTTTTTTTTAATGTTTACAGTCGAGTGTCAGAGAGTGATTGCTCGTCGTTGAACAGCGTCGAGCTGGAGAACAATGATTCGGACACCGGTCTCGAAAGCATGAGCTCGTCGGAGAACAGCAAGCCGTGCACACTATGCCTAGACCCCGTCGCAGATCTCAGTCAAGAAGTGACCAGGCTAAAGTGTGACAAGCTTCACCTCCTCAGGCAGAATGTTGTAAGTATTTCCTCTCTCGGCTAATTTCTCTATTTCTAACAGTTTGGCTCTTTTGTCATCTTTATTTTTTAAATCATACCATTATTAAAAATTAAGGGTGTTGCTGAGAGCAATGATCTTCAAGAAGTTGTAATGCATCAATTTTATTAAATAATTGATAAGAGAGTGGAAATTTAATTTTAAGTTCATATAAAAAGTAATGTAGAGAAAAGAAGATTAATGTTATAACCATTTAAATAAGAATATATTATTTATATTCTCTGGCCTCTACGAGTTTTTTTAAATATAAAAAAAAAAATGGGCTCTGAAAAACTTAATTTTTATTAAAGAAATTTTAAGAGTGGCGTTATAAATTTATTATATATAAAAACTTATTAAATTTCTTTACTTTTTCATAATGTTTCTGCAACGCACCAGAAAAACATAACTTATTAAGCTAAATGTTTCCAATTAACAATGCATATATTTATATTATACTAATTATTCCAGTTTCTCGATTTTCTTGTTGCTATTAGATGAATTAAGAAAATGACAATAAAGTTTTTATTAATACGATCATTTACCAGTTCCAGTAATTTTTTTAAATAATAAATTGGAAAAAGATTGTTTGAAAACATTTTCAGATTAAAACATTAAAAGTTAATAACAATATTGAATTGTAATAAATTTACTGTAAAATAACTGATAAATGACTTAAAAAAATTTATTTTCCCTTTACTAAAAATTAGTTTTTAAAATTTAATAATTTTATAAAATCAGTCACTGATGCAGTTTTAATAAATTTTTATGAAACTACCCAATTTAAAATCTAATAATAATCATAGTTTACTTGTCAGTAACATACTATGGTTGGAATAAACTATTTTATTTTATTTACACCCTTACTTGTCTTACGGCAATACGGGTTTTGGTGAAGGTAATAAATGATATATCCAGGCAGTTTTTGGAACGCCGCACCTGGGGCATAGGGGGTCTACATCCTTTCTAAAACTGTGCAGTTTGGCCCAAAAGCCCCCATGCCCCGTAAGGACTTGCAATATCCAGTAATCTGGGAATACCCATTTCGCTGGGAAGAACTTTCTTAAGGTCGTCCCTGTCGGTGTTGTCAATCATCGCTGTGATTGGAATAAACTAAATTTATTATTTTATTTAATACAGGAAGATTTATCTAAAATCTTTATATAATACACTAATACAAGCTAAGAGGTTGTGTTTGCCTTCCTATTTTAATAATAATGAAATATTGTGCCATATCACAAAGACTAGCTAAATAGAAATAATATCGAAGTCATTTTTCAGATTACGGATTAGGTCTTTAAATGTTTATAGTATTCATGTTTAAATTTTTTTTTTATCATTAACTGGACCATGGCACCATCAAGTCGGGTTCACCACTTTAGTGTATAAGAAAGGATCTATGAACTTATTTAATAAAACAAACTAGAAATCCTTTATAATATATATTTTTACTAATTCAAGTGTTTACAAGATTACTTCATGGTTCACTAGTGTCTTTTGCATTACCATGCAACCACTCCACTACAATGTAATGCTTAAGTCCATTAAAGATAATTTATTGAAAGTTTCAATGTTCTCATTACAACACCCATATCAGCAATTTTCTTCCATTTGTAAATAAAATGAAGAGAGCCAAACAGACTTAAATAACTGATTTGTTGGCGTGTCACAAAAATCCCTATATTAGTGATGGCTTTCAGTCTGGCACTATACACGAGGAAGTGGATCCCAGGTAAGACCGAGGCAAACTAACCTAATAATAATTTAAATAATTCTTAACTGCCTCTAATCACACACTGTTCGCAATCACTACAACAATTGTGTTGTTTCCTTATAACATCATGCTTCAAAAGTCAATCGAGCACTTCTTAGTGTGATGGAATTGTCTTGTAGTTTAATGCATTCTTTGAAAAATATTTTATACTCATCTCCCTAAGTTAAGGAATGTTACCAATAAAATTTTTTAAAATATTAAAATAAAAAATTATTTTTCCTGTAAACTTCAGGTCACTGTAGTATCTTCCAATGCTAAAATAAAAATATAGAGGACTTTCCTAGCAACAAACTATTAATGGTTATTATTATTATTATTGCAAAAAACAGTTAGTTGCATTGCATAATCTTAAATCACTAACAACTTTGATAAATTTTCTCTTTGTGGAATCAGAAAATTATGCACTTGTTATAACTACGTTTGATATATAAAAGGGTAAAGCCGGGATGGCCGTGCACGTTGGGGAGTGGGTTCAATAGTGCCTGGATCTGAACATTGTGGGTTTGATTCCCACCTGGATCAGTTATTTTTCATTTCTTAGCGTCCCTGAGAAATGAATAGTGACATTCCCACTCTGATAAATATGCGGCGGCAAGAGCTACCTTAAGGTAGCCTTGAGTGTTTACCAAAAAGGATCACGCACGATAGGGCCCACTTGCCGGATTAATGCTCCCCACCAATAGTAGTACCAGTACCCGTATATAAAAGGGTTTCAGTCATTTTTGTGTACTGTGTTTTTTTATATAAAAGTTCAGCTCCATCAAAAATGTACTTAGTGACAGTTTTCAAGAAACCCACAACATATACATTTGTATGGTGAGTTGTATATGCAAATTGAATTAGCATTATTGAAATATCGTACAGTCACGTGTAGTAATCGTTTTATTTATTTACTTATTTTAACTCGTTAGTGAATTGCCAATTTTAAGATTGTTTTTGCTTCCTAATGCAATGCAAGTTTATTGAATTCAACTTTTTATATCTGGTATAATGAATATCATCAATGATTTTTTTTTTTTTTTTTGCACTTACATTTATTTATCCGCACCTGTCAATTATTATTGACAATCAGCAGATGTGCTGGCTTAGTAATGAGAGAAAAATAAAATAAAATAAAAAAAAAATAAAAAAAAATAAATAAATAAAAAGGCTTGATAGGCATGAGGAATAGCAATACCCAGCGGTATCCCTTCCATGGCTTTTATTTACTAAGATTATTTAAGCAGATCCCTCATCCAGACCCTTTTCAGTCGTCTTCTGGAGTTCTCGGGCATACTAGTTGTGGCCATTTCTTTTACCAGCTGGTTGGAGTGCCCGTTTAACATGTTATGAAATCGTTTGTAGTACGTTCGTATGTGTTCATTGACTGTCGGAACGTGTAGGTCGGTGTGTAAAGTGTGATTGTTTACGTACCATGGTGCTTGAGTGATTAGTCGTAGTATCTTAGACTGAAAAGTTTGAAGTTTATTTATGTGAGTTGGTTTTGCAATTCCGTATATTTGTAGTCCGTAAGTCCAAAGAGGTTTTAAAAGATACGTGTAAATACTTAGTTTCTGTCTTGCTTTTAATTTGGAAGGTCGTCTTAACAATGTATGTAACAATTTTAGTCTTAGATTTAATGTGATTCGTTTTTTCTTCACATGTGGACCCCATGTCATTCTCCTATCGAACGTAAGGCCTAGGTATTGTACTCTGTCTGTTTGTGGAATCGGTATGTTGTCTAAGTATACAGGAGGGCATGTTTCTGGTCTTAGAGTAAATGTGATGTGCTGTGACTTTTGATAATTTATTTTAGTTTTCCAAAGTTTACACCAATCGAGTATAATTTGTAAGTGATGTTGTAAGTTAAGTGATGCCTCTGTAGGATTGTCGTGCCTGGTAATGATAGCAGTGTCGTCTGCGTAGGTTGCTGTAAGAGTGTGGATACTTTGAGGAATGTCGTGTGTGTATGTGATGTACAGTAGTGGGGCTAGGATTGATCCCTGAGGTACACCAGCTAAAACTGATCGAATTGAGGATAGACCTTGGCCATGTCGAACGGAGAAAAATCTATCTGAGAGAAAGGAATGGAGAATTAAGTAGTAAGTATGTGGAAGTATGGTCTTAAGCTTGAAGAGAAGCCCCTGATGCCATACTTTGTCGAACGCTTGGGCGACATCCAGAAATACTCCGGTTGCATATAATTTCCGCTCTAGTGCTGTAGAGATGTAGTCAGTCACCCTGTGCAATTGTTGTGTTGTTGAATGTAATTTTCGAAACCCGAATTGATGGTCAGGAATAATCTGTTTGTCTGTTAGTATATGTAATAGTCGTGGGTACAATAGTTTTTCGAATAACTTAGAACATACTGGAAGTAAACTAATCGGTCGATATGAAGAAGGGTTGTTAGTGTCTTTGTTTGGCTTTTTAATCATGGTTATGTGTGAGTATTTCCATTGTATAGGAAATTTGGTGGTCCTGAGAATGCAATTGAAGATTGTGGTAAGAAACACTAGAGCTTTCCTTGGCATTTGCTGGAGCGCCTCAGCAGTTATCAAGTCATGACCAGGGGTTTTTCTTTTGGGCAATTGTCTAATTTCTTGTGCAACTTGTGATGGTGTGAAAGGAGGTGGTGGTAGTGTGAGCTGTAGCGGTATGTCTAAGTTATTATGTACCAAAATATCGTGTTCTGTATTAATTAAGTCTGTATTTGGTTTAAAAACAGTGGAAAGATGGTTAGCAAAGAGTTCAGATCTCTCCTCGTCCGAAACAGCCCAAGAGCCATCCTCTCTTCGTAGGGGTGCTGACACCTCACGATGCTTTAAAAGATTCCTTGTATGTCTCCATAAACTTCCATCGACCGTCGAAAGGTTGTTAATAAAATTGTCGTAGTTTGTGCTTTTGAATTTTTGAATATGTCTTTTAAGTTCGTTGTTCAATCTGTTAAAAGTTTGTCGGTCTGAAGGAAGTCTGTTAGTCTGCCATACTTTACGTGCTCTTCTCTTTGCTCTAATCAAGTCCCTTATGTACATTGGATAATGGGGCAAGTTCGCTGCTTTTTGTGGCCTGGATGTTGATGAGGCCCATGCTGCATCTTGTATGCTTTTTGTGAATTTCTCAACAGCTTCTTCTAATTCCTCATGATTTTTAATTGAACCTGGAACGGAAAGATTGGTGTTCAAATAGTCTCTATATGCGTCCCAGTCCATGCAGCCTTTTATGAGCCTAGGTCTTTTTTGTGTTTCGGAAGGCTCATCGAAGAGAACCATGTGCACTGAGGAGTGATCAGAACAAAGATCGGAGGTTGCATTGACGGCAAATGGTACGGTTCTTAGTCCTTTTGTAATAAAGAAATCAAGTAAGTCGGGAGTTTTGCGTCTGGAGGTGGGCCAATAAGTTGGTGAATTTGGTGTTACAGTGTCTAATGAAAGTTCATGGAGAACAGACCAGAGATTTCTGCCTCTTGGAGTACACAACCTTGAGCCCCAGCCTTGATGCTTAGCATTATAGTCTCCACCTGCGATGAAGCATCTTCCGAGGCGTTTGAAGAACTCAGAAAACATCGTGGGTGTAAGCTTGTACCTAGGGGGACAGTAAACTGAGGCAAATGTTATAGTGTAGTGTTTAGTGTATAGTGTTATTCCTGTCGATTGTATGTCGGGTGTAATGGGTAAGTCTACGGGATTGTGTTTCAGTGAATTTTTGACGAGTATAGCTGTTCCTCCATGTGCAGTTTTATCTGGGTGATCAGTTCTGTAAATTGTGTAATCCTGGATGTAAATTTTTGATCGGGATGTCAGGTGTGTTTCTGTAATGAGTGCTACGTCGATTCGTTTTTCGTGCAAGTATAAGTCGAGTTCAGTACTGTGCTGTTTCAGTCCGTTGGCATTCCATAGAAGAACTGACAAGGAGCCTACAGTTAAATTATTGTGGGCCATAATTTGGGCACCAGACCTGTGTAACCTGTGACAGTTGTTGAAGAAGAATGAAAAGGGGCTGGATTAGGTTATTTAATCCATTAATTATATTAAATAATTGAGAAGAGCCATTATCTACCGGAGGTATCGGTTGGGTAATGCCTCTCCTCGTACCTGTACATGTTTTCTGGTTCGGGGGTGCTGAACTAGATGATGTTTGGTTTTGTTGTTGCGGAGGTCCTGCGATGATCTGTGGTTCCCCTTGGTTGTGACGTTGCCGTATTGGAGGGAATTCATGCATGCCTGGAGGTCCCTGCGCTGGCTCTGCTACTGTGGAACGCTGAAGACGATTTCTTGCATTGCGCTGAAACCTGAGATCTTTCAGCGTCTGGCAGCCTCTGTAATTAGCGGGGTGCTGACCGGCACAGTTGGCGCATTTCGCGGGGGTGTCTCTCGTTTTCAAACATGAGCTGGTTTCATGATATTCACCGCACTTTACGCATCGTGGTCGATGGTTGCAATAAGTTTTAGTGTGCCCATATTGCTGGCACCGAACACACTGAGGAATATTTCTCTTTTGACGCGGTTCCTCAATTTTAATATGTGAATAATAAAGAAATTCAATACTAAAAATTTCTTCTCTAAATGTCTCTTTTGTAATGTCCACAAAGAACATAGGAAGGGGTTTTTTGAATCTAGATATGACGTTAACTACATTGGTGGCTTCGTAACCCAATTTTTTAAATTCCTCTTTAATGATATCGATTGGTGTTCCATGGTGAAGATGTTTAACAACAATCCTTGGGCATTTGTCCTGTGGAAGTTGGTAGGTATGGAAGTCGGCGCCTTTATTTCGCAGGCTAGAATTTAATTTTCGATAAACGTCAGGATTTTCTGGGTACACAGTGACACCTTTCAATGTAGACTTAGTTTTAAACATATTAGGACCCGTTTCGTTTTCTAGAAATGAGATTAAGGCATGGTAATTTTCAACACCGTTTATAAAAATTGGTGGAGTTTTATTGTTTTGAGGCGCTCTTCTAACTTCTTCTGTTTGTAAATTAGTTATGTTGGTTAGAACCTGAAAACTGTTCGAGGTTGGGATAGATTCTGTCGGTCTTTTTTGAGCTCTTGGCTCGCTCGAATCTATCATAGGTCTTTTACGACCAATAACCAGTTCCCAGGAGCCGTCTTCATTGTTTATATCACTGTTTTTAAAGTTCATGTTACTTACCTCAGTTTGAGATGATTCCACCATTGTTGGCGGTGAAATCCGCTCAATCTTTGTTTGGTGTTTTGTCCTTAGCAATCTTGTCTTGATAAAACACTTTTGTTACACAAAAATTAGGTATTTACACTTAATTAACACTTTTTTGGAAGACAATACTAAATTAACCTTTCACCTTATTTAACATCAACAGCTGTTCTCCATCAATGATGATCTCACTTTTACCAATAAGATGTCGTACATGATATCTAGGAAGTCAGCATCACCTGAAGTTTACTTAGGACTTGATATTGTGATAATGGGTATTTGACAAATTGAATTTTGAGTCAAGTCAAGTCGAATCACAAAGTCATACCATTTAATCTTGAGTTAATATGATGAGGAAAAAGCGTATAGTGTGCTTGATTATTGCAAGATTTATGCTTGGTTGCTATTGGCTGCTTGATTTAAGGTTTTTTAAATTGAACAGTTAAGTCACATGAAATGTCAGTTTTTGGGTCCACAATAATAGAACAACTACAGGTATAATTTTATTTTATTATGTTTCTCGGTTTCTTTGCAATTTTTCTGAATCACTTTTTTTTTTTAATTGCCTCTTTATAAAATCTCTGAGTCTGGAAGAAAGTAAATTGGTTACTTGCATGGGAAATTTGAAATCATGTAAATTTGAAATACAGTAGAATTCAAATGATGAAAAACCATATCAAATTGAGATCAGACTTTTTAAATAACAAAAAAAAGGTTCATATTTAGCTAAAAATCTAAGACACTAATCTAGCTGGGATCTAATAATTTTGAAATAATTTGAGAGTGTATCTTGATAAATCTGTTGATATCATTATTCTAGTTCTGTTCACATTTACTTGTTGTATTTTAAATTAATACGTTTGTCAATAAATTCAATCATATTTCCTAATCTGCTCATAGTCATTCTGAAAATTGGCATTTCATGTGATAACAATTTCTTACTTTAAACACCTGGTATTGTCATTTTGGAACCATCATTATGTTACACTTAGAAAATAAAATAAACTGAAAATGAAAAAATCCTTGGTATCGAGAATTTATCATTCAGAACGATTCATCCAAAATAATATATTTAACATTTACTGTATAACAGTTTATTTTATGCTCTAATGTATCTGTTTCACTTGTATTTTAGTTTATATTTTAAGAAATGGTGAAAATACATCTTTGACACTTTATCTACTGGTTCTATTAATTTTTATTTATTCCATTCAAGCAATAGAAAAGGAACCAGTAGGTAATGTTAAGTTTTGTGATCGCTAACAAGTTAATGGAAATTTATTAATTCTTAATATATTTGATTAATATCTAGTAGCTTTTTAAGGTTTCATATATATCATTGATTTATCATATCAACAATCATTCATAGTCACTTCATATTCCACTTTTATAATTCTTCATCAACCATATCATGTCATTTTACATTCATTAAAAATGACATAAAGCATATGTTTATAACCTTAATACATTTACTGTAGTTTAATAATATTATTATATTCTAGATCTGATATTATATTTAAATAATTAGGTATCAACGTCCGTTTATTCCAAAAACCGTCATTTAACCTTTTAGAATGTTAATTTAGTGAATAATTAAATGAATTTTCCCTTTGTGAAATCCTAACATTATTCACTTACAATTAGTGTGATAAATTTTGACCTGTCTATGGCGAGGAATGAAAATCTCATAATTTTATTTTAATAAACTTTACAATGGAAAATAACAGTTTAATAACTAATATACGTACAATCCATAATCATTTATAGGTTATAGCGTAAGCAATATATATAGAGCTCAGAGACTTGAGTTATGTGGTTTACAAAAACAGATGGAGTACTGAGGTTTTTATTGCCTACCATTGATATAATTAATAGGGTTTTTGTTATAGTTAATGGTTTGTTAGCTATAAGCTTTAAGCTGTAGCTTTGTTAAAAATGCACTTTAAAAATTTTATAATAGCCCAACATTGCCAAAAAATAATTTCTATTCAAAGTAGAGCGGTAAGTGAAAGTTGTGTGTTGCATACACCAGATTGTTTAATGTATTTTTCAAATTATGTTGGGAGGAAATGTATCCATTTACTCAATAGTATTAAAGTTATTAGCCTGAATCATTTGTCTAGATTGACTCACATACTGTATTTGAGCAGATCGTTAAGGTATCAGTAGCTTTATTGAATTAAAAATTCTAATGCCAGCAATTTTTAAGTCAATTGTTAAGATTTTACTTTATACATTTTAAATTAATCAAGATAAATCTGAATGCTATTACTTTTTTTCTAATCCTATAGCTCTCAAAATAGAATTTGTTTTTTTAATTTGTCCATATTTGTTTCTGTTAGTGATCTCAGCTAAATACTTAAGCATATATATATTTTTTAAATTTTACTTTTAGAGTAATGACTATTAGATAAAAAAGAAAAAAAATTTCTTGAATATAATTAGTCCAGAAGTAATCTACTGATAGACTTAAAGGAAATAGACAATAGGGACTTTCATTTTTGTAACAGATAATTCCTGATGAGTATTTATCCAATGAAGACGACATTTCCCATTAGCTTTTAGAAAAAAATTTATTTATTCATGATTATTTTTTAATTAATATAATATTTAAATTAAATTATGTTTGTTTCAGACCTGCCAAAGAGAGATCAAGCGTCTGAGAGAGAAAGAGCTAGCCTTGCAGTCAGAAATTGCGACGGCATCGCGGGAGATATTGAGGCTACGAGAGCTCCTCAAGGACTATAACACAGATGCTTCTAACATTTAACTCTTTCTCATTCCTTCGAAACTAAAACTGTAATCTCGTAAACGCAGTTGTATCAGTAATGTGTATTAACAAAAAAATAATTTTCTCTCATTGTGTAGAATGGAGGATATATATATCCTAAATATCTAACATATGTTAGAATTGAAGATGCTTCTATGTCTCGATTTTATTGTTAGAATCTACTATTTGTGTAAATAAAATAGAAACCCGTGGGTTAGATTTCTGTATTTAAAAAAACCTGTGGGTTAGATTTCTGTATTTAACAAAACCCGTGGGTTCCCTTAGTGAGAACTTCAGAGAGTTTAACAACACCAAAGTGGTTTCACCATCTTGTTACCATGGAATCTCCAGTACAATTTTTTTTTTTCACTTTATGTATATAATTTGATTTTTTTGTTTCTTTCGCTTATGCTGTGTATTTTTTCTTTTTTTTTTTTTTCCTTTGGTTCCGCTTTGCCAAAAAAAAAGTGGATGGAGTGTTAAGTTTGTAAATGTTATGTAAAGTTATATATAAATATATAATTTAAGAAATTATTATGAGTTAAATTTCGATGTATAGATAAAGAAGAGTTATATTTAAAGAAAGAAATAAAGATTATAGCGTTGTAGTTATAGCGAAAATCCTTTAAGATCACTTTCCTGTTATAAATCGTTAGAGATTCTATTCTAAAATTTACTGTTGCTCTAATAGTTAGTTATACCTTTTCAAATGTTAAAGCTTTCACTAGCTGTGATTTATAAGTGAAAATTTAATTATAAATATTGATTGTAAAGGATGATATGATTTTTCCTCATTTTTATTTTATGAATTAGGTTTGAAAATAAAGGTTGTATTCACAACAGTTCTCTAAACATTTCTCAACAGTTTATCTAGTGCAAGTAATAAAAATTAGATCTGTTTTTTCCTGATCTAAAATCTTAATAACTCTATTACTCTTTCATAACAAATAAACTTTCGTAATTAACTGATGAAACAAAAACATAACAACAACCTGAGGCTTTCTATTGAAAACGAGCTGTTGGTTTTACAATATATGTATATTGAGATAATATATACATATATATTTATTTACACATGCATATATATGTACACTGCCTCAAAAAGTTTCTATACAGTTAGTTTTTCTATAATATTGCTAATAATGTATTTATTATATTATTTTTATTAATCAGGAAGGGTGGCAGAGGCAAAGGTGTACCAACATGACAAATTCATACTGGATCACTGATTCCATAGCAGTAATATATACAACTTTGATCTGGATGTCAACAAAGTTTCCATACATCTATCATATCTTAATTCTATTTCTATTCAATACCATTATTTCCCTAAAATTTATTATCTCAACACTACATTCAAGGTTCAATCTGCTTCAAATCATCATTATGCTAATTGAATCCCATTCTGTTAATAGAGCTACTTTGAGAACTCCTTTAATTTAAACACCATGATTTCTCATGCACCCTCCTAATTCCATCCCACAAATGTTCTATTGGGTTTATGTCCAGTGATTGGAGAGAAATGTGCAACTGTTTTGGAACATTGTCGTTTAACCATTGTTTTACTTTCTTGGCGGTGTGCTTAGGATCATTGTCCTGTTGTATAATAAATACCGGCATAAATTCAAGTTTTTCAGCAGAACTTTTAAAATTGTTCCTTAGAATGTTTAGTAAAACTGGCTGGTCCATATCAATAAAAACGAAACTGTCAATTCCTAATGCACTCATACGCCCCCATACCATTACAATTCTACCTCCAGGATTGAAGATCGGTCACAAATTCTTTAAAATAAGTGCTTCTTTGTCTGTTTTTCAGATATGACACCTTTCATGTGGTACAAGAAGGTTGAATTTGAATTCATCTAAGGAGATTACAAAATGCTAAAAACTTTCTGACTTATTGGCTTACTCCATGGCAAACGCCAACCTCTTCTTATATCTTTGGCTTTTTTCTTGCAATTCGTCCATAAAAACCTTTCTTTCTCTGAGCATTCCAGACAATTACTGGATTTACCCATACCTCGTAATCTCTTTCAAGCCCGCTGGTTAAGCATGTTGCACAAGTACAGGGAGTGGATGCACCTGTTTCGGAATAGTACTCCTATGAATACTATCCAATTTCCCTGAGCAGCCTAAACAAGGCCTGCCCTCCAAAGATTTTAATTCTCTGCGTCTGTTTAACATGTACTGCACAGTTACATGCGATTTATTTAGTAAAATTCCAATTTTTCAGAGAGAACATCATTGACTTCTCAACCACAGTATTTGGTCACAAAGGCACTGCTCTAAAACCATAATGTTGATTTGAAGTAGGCTGAACCTTAATTAACCTTGAATCTAGTGTTCAAATAATAATTTGAGCAAAATAATGTCATTGAATAAAAATGGAATTAATGTATTATAGATGTATGGGAACTTTTTTTATATTCTGATGAAAGTTGTATCTCATCAGTGATCCAGCATGAATTTGTTATCATGTTGGTACACCTTTGCCACTACCACCCTTTCTGATTAATAATAATATTGTAATAAATAGATTATTAGCGATGTTAAAGAAAACCTAACCATATGGAAACTTTTTTGAGGCAGTTTATGTTTATAAACCGAGTGGTAAATTGACAAAACACACAAAAAAAAAATTCATACTTCACAAATCAATAACAATTATTTTTCTCTTAAAATCTATTTAGTATATACTATAATATATATTTAAAAACCGAAAGAAATTATATTACTGTTTCTTCTTCTATTTTATAGTATTAAAAAACACAAAAAAAATCAGAGTATCTATTTTAGGAGAGAGAAGTGTATTGTAATGTTATTTATGATGTGCACGCAATAGATTTATAGCTCGTATTTTTGTCTAGCCTGATAGAAAAAAAGGAATCGTATAGATTTTGCCAGAACAAAATAAATATATTAAATAAACTGGTGTTATCTTAATAGTTAATGTACGTATTTTGATTTAATTATTTATTTTATTTGTTTTTAGAGGGCTTTTTATGTCCCTGTCGATGCCTGCACAAAAATGTAGTCATTCACACAAAATACCAAAGTAATTTACATTTATTCTTTAAACTATTTGTGTAAATGCCATTTATATATATTTTTTAATATTTTTCTGATACTATTTGTATTTATAATTTAACATCTTTAGTTTGTGTAACTTTAAAAACAAATTAATATGATGTATTAAATAGTATATAAATAGTTAAGAAAAGAAAATATATTGTTGCAAACAATGTATCTGTTTTATTATTACTTTTTCCTCTTGCCTACATCTTTCCTGAAAAATTTTGATTATAAAAAAATAGTACACTTTTTCTATGTTATAAAATTCATTTTCCAGTACAATTAGTGGACGCAGATAAATTAAAATAAAATACATAATATTTAAAAATATATATCATATTTTTTATTTCCAGACCATGGAAACATGGCAAATTAGTGTTAACTAATATATAAGGAAAAAATTAAAAAAAAAAAAAAAGAAGACTTGCAAGCTTGTTACCAATACTAAACAAACTGAACACGCCCTTTTAAAACATCTTTTCACATTTCTTCAAAGAAAACTGAATTATGTCAACACTTCAATTTTATTTCAATAATGAACATTTGTAATCGATGACGAAACAACTTGTTAATATTTGAGGTATTACTTTTTAAGATATGTAGCATCAGTAAAATTTAATTTTTAAGAATACAGTCATCCGTGGATTTTCTCAGAGAACAAAGAACTGAATTTGTGTTTTTATTTTTCGTTTTGAGATTTAACAAGAAATTAGCAGGTCCATCCTAGGATGATCCTAAAAACTCAACATTACCATCCGCTGTTTTAATTTAAAATGACTGCCGAAAAACCTGTATTTCTAAAGAGATCAGCTCCAAAATAGCTGTAATATGATTTTGATGAAACTTGACTTAGGTCTTTTTAAAATTCATATGTATAAATGAATTTTAAAAAGACCTAAGTCAAGTTGTATATATATAATCTCCAAAACGAATCTGGAAAATTAGTTACGATGAATGCATAATTTTATTTGTGAATACCTCAGAAAATATAAATTTTTTGATGATCTTTAATCGACCAAGAAATAAAAAGTTAATCTCGTTAACAAGATTTAGGTTTTTAGTTTTCAATATAAGTATAATTTTCAAATAAGATAAATTAAAACAAATTCAATAACAATCATCCGCTATTTTTCTCTTTTGAACCGATTTTTTTGAGATAATAGCCCATAGATATTATAATAGCCTGTAAAAATTTTGATGAAAGATGTCTAAAGTATTTCCTTTAAGCCCCTCATAATTAGATATAGATATTATATTATGCTCAAATAAATAATGTGTTCATAAAGCATAACTCCCTGAAAATAATCTGTAAAAGTTGCAATGATTGTAAATATTAGTATATGTTTATTTAAAAAATAACGAAATTCCCTATAAAATCAAAAATATCATCAAAATCGGACTACTTGTTGCTGAGGTTCTCGATTTTGACTTTTGAGAACATGAAGGATAAATAGGAATTTATTTATAAGATTTAAGGGAGATGTTTATTTATATATAGCATATGAATAGTTTAGTCTCCCAAAAAAAAAATACTTTTTTTTATGACATTTCGGGATCACTTTATTATTCCATCTGCAGACTAGAAATAAGAAACATTTTTGTTATTTGTATTTATATATTTTGATAACTTATAACATCAATAACAGATTTGCCAATTTCATCCTTCTATCATCTATTTTTTTTTAAAAAGAATTTTATCATTTTTATTTTTATAAATCATCCCTAAATATACAGTAATTTTTTTGTGTTATATTATTATTTTGATGTAAGTAGCATAGATTCTGTAATGAATTTATTTACCTATTTATTATATTGTGGACTCCTCTAGGGAGATCCTACTCAGACAACTGAACTAAACATTTCACAACTTAGGGTTTCGATGAATGAGGTTTCAAATGAAAGGGTATTGGATGGAGACATGAAGAACAATAGTCACATCCTCCCAAAAGTTCAGTCGAAAAATTTATGAAAGAAAGAGAAGAATTTTGATTTACAAATATCAAAGAAATTTTTAAGGAAAGAAACAGAGTTCAGGTTTGTATTTAGCACCTCCAACAACCCTCAAATACAAATGTTCATAGCAATCTACAAATAAAACTTTTTTGCTTCAAAATTTAACAAAGACTATTTACAAAAATTTTGTTAACCACAGATTTTTACAAATGAGGTATCAAAGGAAAGAATATTTGATGGAGACGTGAAAAACCATAGTCAAATCCTCCTGAAATTTTAGTGGAAAAAGATATAAAAGAAAAAGAAGAATTTTTATTTGACAATATCTTAATAATTTTTTTATTGAGAAACAGAGTTCAGATTTGTATTTAGTATCCTGAAGAACGCTCAAATACGAATTTTCATAGCAATCGAAGAATAAACTTCTTAAGAAAATAAGAATAAAATTCTTAAGGAGACCTTCATTATGGTGACCTTTGTTAATGTGGTGGTGACCTCCTTAAGTAAGGAGCCCATTTTCAATGTAACCATTCTTGGCCTTGGATTGTTTTCTAAAAATCAAAACAAATTTACAACTTCGGATTTTGATGAATGAGGTATCAAATGAAAGCGTATTGGATGGAGACGAGAGAACAATAGCCACACCCTCCTGAAAGTTCAGTCGAACTTATGCTTAGGTCGAATTATTGCTTGAATGTAATTTTAATCCCTCCATGAAAATATTTTTTTTTTTTTATATTCCTTTGATTTTTTTCCGCCATGATTTCCAAACATTCATCTATTGGTACGTTAGTGGACAATTCTTTCATGTCAAAACTCACTATATCATATTTTATAGTTTTAATTTCTTTAATTTGTCTTGTACTTCAATCGAATTTATTACATTGAAATTCATATCGCAGTTTAAATTCATTATTTCATGCTTAAAAAATTTAAATAAATTATTATTAGGTACATTAATGTTATTGACTATCAGTCTGATGGCTTTATTTTGTTTATGTAGTTTTATGAGTCGGTGTATTCTCGGTTCAATATAATTACTACTTGCCAATTTTTTTTAAGTATATTTATTTATATATCCATATTTTTATAATTTATTTACATAAGTATTGTATACCGTTTTATTATCTAATAATGTTTCTATTTTCAATGTATAATCATTTCTATTCATAATCATTAATTTCTTGGTCTTTTCCGATTTTATCACTATTATTTCTTTATTTATGATTAGAAAATCCTTAAAACACTTTAAATCAATATATATTTGGTTATTCAATTCAATATCGAAATTTTTGGATTATTTTTAAATTTTGATATTTATTCATCAATAACATTATTATCCATTATTAAATTTTTTAGCGCTTATCAAGTTTTTATATTTCTTGACTATATAAATCAAAAGCTGCCTTTCAAATCTATAAATGAGAGACAAACACCATCTCATGTCTTCTATTCTAGAACTTCTTGATGACCATTCTAAGAGAAAAAATATACACTTGGTCTAAATGCAGTCTGCTTCTAAGATTATACATGAAATGACACTGAAAAGTGCTAGGAGAAATTCTTAACGTAATTGGCTCAGGATTCAATTTTGATACCTCATTTTGGCCACCAAACCTATCTGTCATTGAGTATGTATCATTTGAATTAAGGGTGAATACAAAGGCAAGAATTCATGCACCCGTAGAAAATGATGCAGAAAAGGGTAAAGTTTATGAAACTATGAATTCAACAATGAAACAATGACCGAATTATGACTTGAAAATCATAGCTCTGAATTCCAATGCAAATCTAGTTCGAGAAAGCTTCTACTTTGCAATAATTTGGCTGTATAGTCTCCATCAGGAAGCTAACAATAATGTACAAAGGCTTGTTGGGTTACCTGCTTCTTGAGACTTGACAATCAAAATTATATTCTTCTCTTATAAAGGCATATAATAAGGAACTTGGAGATCCCCAGAGGGACAAAGAATTAATGAAATTGACCACTTCCTGATATCATCCAGAAACTGGTAAAATCTTCTCAAAGTCCATACATATCGAAGAGTAATATAATAATAAGAGTAATGGACTCTATCAGGTTGTAGTATTATATCTAATTGACTGTATCTTCTTGCTGAATAATCATAGGTTAGAAAGGGTCTTAAAACTCAATACTGCAAAATTAATGGAAGAAGAATCCTCAGTGTAACACCAATCTAGTACTGAAACCAAAACCCTTCATGCCATTGAAAGTACTGAATCCAAAACCACTCATGAGTTATAGTAGTACAGATTTTTTTTCAATTATTATTATTAAATTATTTTGTAATAAGTATTTATTTATTACAGGTTCTTCAGTATACCAATGATCAAATTTTTATTGATAAAGTTAAACAGGAAATATTTTCAGACAAAACTAATAATAACCCAGTACATTATGGAGCCCAATAGAGTATTTGGGGAAAGCAAATATTGCAGTGATTGTTCCAAACAGTGATGCTATTTCAGCCACAAGTACCATTAATAATGAGTAAGTCAGCTCTATCTACGATATCAGGGTATTCTTACTGGAATTATTTTAAAACTATTTTCTGATCTTATTTTATGGAACAATTTCTTATATTGAGAGAATTTTGAACCAATTTGTGACTATAATCATTATAAATACCTCATTTTCTTATAGATTTGGAAGTTGGGTTGTATCAGAGAGCACTGGCATATTATTAAACAATCAAGGGTGATTTCTCAACACCTGGTTTAGTGAATAGTTTTGGAGTTTCCCCATCAGATACAAATTTTATTAAGCCAGGGAAGTGCCCTCAATCTTCAGTTTGCCCTACCATCTTGGTTGATAAAAATGGTGATGTTCGTTTGGTTGTCGGTGCAGCAGGTGGAACAAAAATAACAACAGCAGTAGCCTTGGTTAACATCCTAGAAAATTAATTGAATTTAAGTCTAAAAGCAAGTAAAGACCTATATAATAAATTTTCAGACAATTATTAGTTAAATTTGGCACCACAAATCTATTTTCGAGGCCGTGGATCTGCCAAGATTTCACCACCAACTAATGCCAATGGAATGGCGCTATGAACCATTGATGCCAAAGGTAAATAAGTTAAATTAACTAGTTCATATACTTGTACTTTTCATTAAATTAAACTTTTTCGATGTTGTCCACGGGTCACAATGTCATATTAGATTTGTGGTCAAAGTTGGAAGTGAAGTTTAACAAATTAAATATTTTAATAATATTCCGCCCTAGATATTAACAAATTAAATTGGTAAAAGTTTACTGTACTAATTGAACAATGTTAAAATGTACTAATAATTGTAATGGTATGAGTACTAGTTCAGGACATTCTTTAAGAGGTTGGTTGATGGAACATGAAAACTTAGATATTTACTTTAAAACAAAGCAATGTGTAATTTCCATCCTAAGTACTTTATTTATAATTAGTGCTTCCCTAATATATAGGTTTCTTTCATACAAAGCAAAATTGTCTATCCTTTTCAGACACAACATTTATAATAATAAAGTGTTTATTTTTTTAACATAAAACAAACAAATTCATATACGCTATTCATGGTGTTTAGACCTCCTGCATTAGTAGTTAGGTACTTAACAAAATCTAATAAATATCACAAAACAAATGAATAATGCATAACAATCTTTATTTTATTTACTTAACTAATTATAATTTCTTAATTTACATTTTTTTTTCTAGACAATATTAATACATATATTTTTTTTCTCCATTTTCATATCAAATATCATACTACAGCTTTACTATATCACACTACAGTGTTATAATGTAATATATATGGAAACAAATTTACACATAGTACTACAAATAATCTGTTTTATTTCTTTCTTTTATTCTCCCCTATCACTCAATCAACACTTATATGATTCCAAATTTTCCCCTTCTAAACTTGATCTTTTCTTTTTCTTCCCCTTCCTAGCCTTTTAGGCTATATGTAGGTTTTTCCCAGAACAGGGGTGAAGGCAGGAGATTAATGCCAGAGTTAAAAGTTTCCGAGCCCCGGGATGTGAACTTATTCTGTCATATAATGTAATCATTTTACCATATTATTTTCAGTTAGGTTGTCAGGCAACCCAAGGCAAAATCTTTGTTGAATGTGTTAGTTTAAATGACTAATCTAATGACTTTTGTCACAAATGGCATACAGGCAAATATAGTGTCAATAGAGAATATTAAAAAAGTAAATGGATTTCTTAAAAAGTAATATAGTATAAGAGCAAAAGTAATATATTAGAAATAGGTATCCAGTGTAGTAATGATTCTGTTTTTAGCTTGTCCAATATGTTTGAAGATAAGCTTATAGTATTTCCATTTTATGATTGAAAATCTATTCAAGAATAGTGTTTTAAAATTTTTTCTTTCTTCTTTTCTTTAAACATGAAGTATCCTGGTTTTTTTTGTTTGATTTTTTCTTTTAGGAATTCATCTTGGGTATGAAAGCACGTGGTCATGCTGCGACTGTCTTGAATGAAGTTAGTGTAGTAACTGCAATATCTAACAATAAGGAAATATTCAGTGCAGTATCAGAGAGGCGTCGGCCAGGAAACACATCCTACTTGTTGCTCCCTACTAATTGTACATAGTACCAATGCTAAACTTTTTTATTTTGAAATAATGTACAGAAATAAATCTTGAAATTTATTGACAGAAGGTCCATCCAGGACCCTGTAAGAGAGGTCTAGTTTTAAGTTTTATGATTTTTTTATTCTTATTTAAATGATTAATATTATTGTAAAAACATTACACACACTTTAAAAAAAAAAAGTCTAGTACTTTATTTTTATTTATTTTTTTTAGAGACCCGTAGCATTAATTAACCAAGGGCCTCAAATATACATATTTAGGATACCTACTTATTAAGTATGGTTATATATATATATATATATATATATATATATATATATATTATTTTAATGAAATTTACAACTGTATTACATAGAAAATACAATAAGTAAATGTGACATTGGTAACATGACATGTACAACATGAAGAGAAACTACCCATTGGTAGATCTCAAATTTAATATATATTTAAAACTGCTTTTGGTAAATAAAGTATTTGAAAATATTTTACTGTTATTAAATCTTTGTAAAAGTATATTAATTCTGACCTTAACAGGTAAATTATGTAACAGGTAATAAAAAAAAAATTGATTGAACTAAATTATTTCAATAAAAAAAAAAAACTGAATTATTTCTGTGATATAATTTATTCTAAAATGTAAGCAAGATTTTCATTCTTTATAGGGTATAGATGTTATCTTTAACAAGAAAATGCACAATTTAAACAGTCATTCCAAAAAAGATATTTCTTTCATAATGTAAAAGCATAATTCGAGAGATATCTGTATTACTTCAAGGCTTTAAGTTTCATTATATCGTAACAAATCTAGGCACTAATATTATTGTCATATTCACATAGATACCAGAAATGGCAAAATGCTACTCTGAGTACTGAGTACTGGGTGTTTTACTCAAATACTGATCTTTTTTGAGTACCAAATAATTTCATTACTACTTCAGTTAATGTCAAACGATTAATTGAAGTAGTGATCGAATTGTAACTAGTGATTCATTTTGAATAAAATACTAGATGTTCACTACTTAGAGTATTATTTGCCCATCTCTGGTAGGCACTAATATTATAGGCATATTTATATAGGCACTAATATATTATGCTATAGTATTATAAGTACTAATTTATTATATAATAATGAATGTTATTTATAACACATGAACAGTTTGTTTTATCAATGGAATATATATATTCCATTAAACTCCAAAAATGCAAAAAAAATGTGCCCACCAAGCAAGTAACAATAAAATCAATATAATTTGCCAAACACAGTTTATAAAGATTACGAAACTTTGTTACCAGGTATAAATGTTTACCTTTGATGTATATCAATGATCTACAATAACTTGTTAATGTGAGTGGTAAAATAGGAAATAAATGTTTAAATTTGACCAAAAAGTCTTTCAATTTTTTTTTTTATAATTCTCTTCTTAAAAAAGAATCACCAACTTATTAATATATAGAAATAAATGCCATTATTTCACAGGAACTATTTAGAATTCCAAAGGGATCTACCTACTTGTGTTTAAAAATAAATGAACAATATTAAAATCATAATAAAGATATAATTATGAATTAATATGTTTTATTTATTGTTTGTGTTCTATGCATTTTTGAAAAGTAATACGTTATCGTTTTGAGCGAGTTGTCTAGATTACTGATGGTTGTGATGAGGTGATTTATTTACCTCACAAATATATTACCATCCCACTACATGTGGATGTGGAATGTGGAAAGGTACACAGACATCTTGTATAAGAAGGGAAAACATTAATCCCCACACTTAAGGGTTATCTATGGAGTGTGAAGCTAGGAAGTGAGGATTTAGCCAACCATAGGCTCAAAAGCTTACTAAGCTTTTATAATTGAATTAGTTTGATTAAAATTGACTAGTAGTAGAGAAATTGATATGTACCAACCCCACTGTGACTGAAATGTTCATAAAAATTGGATTAACGTCATAAAGTGGTATACCCACCACATAGATTTGACTATAGACAGAAACAGAATAAAATTTATCCCTTGATATTTGAAACGTAAAACGTGAGTGGATTTTTTTAAATTCTCAGTATAATTTTTTTTAACCCCTCCTTTAAGAATACTAATATGGAGGTGTGCCCATCTCCCCCCTTTTCCCCTAGGTCAATGGCGTATGAACACCCATTCCTCTCCCTCAAGGTATTTTATTGTCCTTCTCTTCTTAAAACTATGAAAGGGAAAGTAGAATTTCGAAAATCGTAGATCATATACGATTACAACAGCAGTGTTCTGGTCCATGTCTACCCTCTGGTTCAATAACCCCGTCGGAATTGTGCCCTCTCAAAAAGTCAAAACCTCGTAAAAATGCACTCCCTCAAAAATTTCTATGGCGCAATTTGCACCATGAAACCCCCTTCTGGACACTTCTGCTAATATCTTTGGTATTCCGGCAACTAACACCATCGAAAGAAGAAGGTTTCGAAATTACGACTTTGGAAAGTGGAAATATCCAGATGTAAGAACTTGCGTTTAAAAGATTTCAAAGCGGACATCAACAGACTCTGTGTTTCAAAGTTCTAAAATGTACCGTTTTCGAGATAAACCTTAATTCGTTCCGCAACCTTGAGTCGTGTATTATCTTCAATGTTCGAGGTATTTAAAGCTAATGTACAATTATACACGTGTAATTGTTCATGAGGTTTAGCGATCGCTTTCTTATTATGGCAGATAACGTCGGGGAACATCGTTTTATCTAGGAACGAGACAGCATTCAGTCTCGCCAAGATGAAAGATGAATAATTCAAATAAATACTTCAAATCAGTTTGACTATATTGTATCGACGTAACAAGTAAGGGGTTTCTGAAGTCTGGTTTCCGGAAATATAAGTTTTTGGAGCTTTTAATTTTACGCAGATACGCCTCTATACGAGAAAGAGGAGTGTTTAGATTCTCATTTCAATTGAACCTGAGGGAACCGAGGTATATTTACTTATAAAATGCCAGTTTTCTCAATTAAACCATTGTTGCTCTTACTTCCCTTCACAGCCTAAATGGTTAAATCAAATGACTTGAAAACAGAGATGGTTAAATCGGAATCAATGATTACATGATTACAACCACTAGCGGATCCAGGATTTAATTTTTTGGGGGGGAGCTTCAGCACGAAAGATTTTTTTTTCATAAATCTTCATAACAATAATTTGAAAAAAAAAAAGAAAGACATTAACTACCTATATGAAGTGGTTCCTGAAGTCCTATTAAATGTAATTAAACGAACAAGAATACTTTAAAAGATAGTTTTTAATATTTTTTTCTGTAAAACATGGTTATATTTTACCATTTTGAGGAGGCTTCAGCCCGAAAGCCCCTCCCCCCGTAGATCCGCCTGTGATTACTACTGAAAATAAAATTTAATGACCATACCAATTTTATATTTGATTCAATAGCACTATTAATGTAGCAAAAATGTGACACGATTACCTCATTACGATTAATCACTTAATCAAAATCACTTTAATCATAATTGCTGTAATCATAATTTTTAATTATGGTTATGTCGATCTATGATTAAAAATTTCCGTTAAGATGTATTTTACGCTGTTTTAATGCATTCTGTATTCTTTGGCTATTTATGAATCAATGGTAATTAAATTAAGGGTGATTATAAGAATTTAATTTAACAAATTAAATAAATTGTTTAAAAATATTTTGCAAAGTTCGTAGGGACTTGACTCTCTAATAAAGTTTTAGAAACAAAAGAAAAACATGATTTTGCTTTCCACACATTTCGGATTTGTCTTGTAATCGCTGACTTGACAATATTTATCCACGTGGCTTCAAAATTCACTTCAATGAAACTAAGTAAAAAATTTATGAAAAGGCATGTTATGAAAAGCAAAACAAAAAAAAAAAAGGCAAAATTGAAGCTTATTTCAGTAATATTGTCGTATTGACTCTGAAACATTTTTCTAGCAAACGTTTGCCAAGACTTAAAATTCGGTTACTTCTAACTACAATACCATTGCATCGAATTTTCAAATGTCTTTCAATATTGTTTAATTCTATTTGTAAGGTTCACTAGCGGATCCAGGATTTAATTTTGGGGGGCGGGCTTCAGCCCGAAGGATTTCTTTTCATATATATAACAATAATTAATTTGAAAAAAAAAAAAAGAAAGAAAGGAACTAACTACCCATATGACATTGTGTCTTAGTGATTCTTGAAGTGCTATTAAATGTAATTACACGAACAATAATATTTTAAGAGATAGTTTTTAATACTTTTTTCTAGGTTATATTTTACCATTTTGGGGGGAAGGAGGAGGGGGCTTCAGCCCGAAAGCCCCTCCCCCCCCCGTAGATCCGCCTGTGGCAAGGTTCTAATATTTATATTATGCATATAATTTCCGAAAGATTAGGTGGTGAGGAGATTGGGTAGATTAAATGCTTTAAATATCTAAGAGCACTGTTTTATAGAAAAAATATATTTCTTAAAGTATTATTGTTCGTTTAATTACTCGTACATTTAATAGGACTTCAAGTATCACTTAAACACCATTTCATATGGGTAGTAAGTTTCTTTTTTTTCCAAAGTAATTATCGTTATATATATATATATATGTAAAAATAATTCTACTGGGCTGAAACCTCCCCTCTCCCCAAAAACTAAATCCTAGATCAGCTAGTGTCTAGGAGCGAAGCTGGGTAGATGAGGACATTAAGGAAAGGTTAAAGTCGGCATGAACGGTACTTTGAATCCCTAAAAAGATAGGGGCCATTCATTTAAAGAGGTAAGAGATGTCTCCAAAAAAATAATTAGAGACAAAAACACATTGCTTGAAATTTTGACATATGCCAGTGAATCGTGCGTCCTGACTATCGAACTTAAAATCCAACTTCAGGCAATGGAGATGTTTATTTATGAATAGTTGAGGTAATCTCTTCGTAAAAACGAGGCTAGATAGAAGAACTCCACGATAAGGACCAACTTGGAGGTAAGATTAGCAGAAGAGGTTATTGAAGAACATCGA